GGAGAGAGGAGATTGCAAAGAACTTTCATTTTCTTAGTTCTTAGGATTTACCATGGTATTCAGACGTTCCTTAATAAGTTGGTGATTTTTAAAAAGATTTTAAGTAAATAAAAATTAAAAATCATTCCATTTCCTCCCAAACACAGTCAAGCATTAGTAACATTTTGTTTTTTTTGTTTGTTTTTTAGTAACATTTTGAATTTTTTTCCAGTTCTTCTCCCATTTAGAATAGAAAGAAGATTGTATTTTCTCTCTTTTTTTTTTTTTTAATTTTTTGACAGGCAGAGTGGACAGTGAGAGAGAGATACAGAGAGAAAGGTCTTCCTTTGCTGTTGGTTCACCCTCCAATGGCCTCCGCGGCTGGCGCGCTGTGGCCGGCGCACTGCGCGCGATGGCAGGAGCCAGGTACTTACCCTGGTCTTCCATGCAGGTGCAGAGCCCAAGCACTTGGGCCATCCTCCACTGCACTCCCTGGCCACAGCAGAGAGCTGGCCTGGAAGAGGGGCAACCGGGACAGAAACCGGCGCTCCAACCGAGACTAGAACCCGGTATGCCGGCACCGCAAGGTGGAGGATTAGCCTAGTGAGCCGCAGCGCCGGCTTCTTTCTTCTTTCCTTTCTTTCTTTCTTCCTTTCTTTCCCTTCGTCCCTCCCTCCCTCCCTCCCTTCTTGCTTTCTTTCTCTTTCTTTCTCCCTCTCCTTTCTTTTTACAAAGCATCACAGCGGGCAAGTGGAATTTTGCATTTTACATTTGCACATATCATACCCTTACCATTTTCCATGTCACTAGTCACGCAAGAGGTTATGAAGTGAAGTAGACGGACTGGGAAGTGGAGGGGAAGAGCAAGCTGCCGAAGGGAAACCTGACAGGATTGTTGGGATCTGAGGGCTGAGTTTAGGAATTCAGAGAAAAGCCACTCAGCTACCTGGATGTAGGCGTGGAGAAGACAAAAGGGTTTATTCAAGGCAGTGTGTGTGAGAGGGGGGTTAGGGAGCAGGCTGTTAAAGATACCTGCAAGAAAATGATCGTGTAACATGTACAACTGGGACTGCAGAACTGCACTGCTGACCTGACGGCAATCTGCGGGTGGTTCTCTCCGCAGCGCCACACAGCTGCCGGTGGGCTTTCACTTCCTCACCTCCCCTCCTCCAGGCATCCTCTGATTCAGGCCTCACTTGGTGAACTTGGAAGTGCATGCAGCCATGGGCAAGGGAGTCCTCCAAACGCGGTAGTCACAGCGGCCCAAGCCAACACGTAAGGTCCAGGGGCTGGGCTCACAGGCGACACAGAGAAGGCAGCTACCTCGGAGACAATGTGTGGCCCTGCCTCGCCCAGCCAGGAAGCACCTTCAGGCTTAGGAATAAGGATGGAAATTGATACAGGCTACGATTAGATCTCAGTTGGGGTCAGGCTTGGTTGAGTTTAGAGCTGGCTCCCTTGGGTCTTCTTGGTGCCAGGGAATGCTGAAGGCTTTTGAGGCAGATTCTGTTTTCCCTCTGGGTGGGGGCACTCAGGGGTCTTGGAGGCCCAGTTGCTATCTTGCTCCACTTCTGGGTTCTGCTCCCTTCTTACCTCTCCCAGTCCTGTAAACTCTTAGTGCCCCGTTTAGTTTTTCACCAATTCTCTAAGCATTATGCAAGGATAGTTTCTTAAAATTTTACATGCTTTTTGTATGTCCAAAAACCTTTTGTTTCTGCCTCTTACAAATCAAAAGCTTTGACTTTATAGCTATTGTGTTTTAAATAGACTTCAAAGCCTATTCTGGAAGTAATAATTGCAAACATCCTGGAGGCACGGATGCATTAGGGCCTTCCAGTAATTGTGAAGGGTTTCTATAAGAAAGTGTGTGGGATGGAGGTGGCGGTGGCATTGCAGTGCAGGTTTAGCTGTTGCTTGGGACAACCAACATACCCCATCAGAGTGCCTGAGCCGAGTCCCAGCTGTCTGTTACTGTTCCTGGGAGGCAGCAGATGATGGCCCCTATACGTGGGTTCCTTCCACCCACATGGGAGACCCAGATGGATTTCCTGGTTCCTGTCTTTGGCCTGCCCCGGCCCATCCTAGCCCTGGTTATTGTGGACATTTGGGGAGCAAACCAGTGGATGGGAACTCTAGGAAGGAAGGGAGTGAGGAAGGGGTGCAAGGAGGGGAAAGAAGGCAGGCAGGCAGGCAGGCAGCTGCGATGGCTCAAGTAATGGGGTTCCTGCCATCTAAGTGGGAGACCTAGACTGAGTTCCTGGTTCCTGGCTTTGGCCCCAGCTCAGCCTCAATTGTTGTGGGCATTTGGGGAATGCTGGTAGTACTCTCTCTCTCTCTCTCTTTCCCACTCTGCCTCTCAAATAACTTTTTAAGTGTGCAAAAAATAAGTATAAACTACCTTGTCAGTAATTTATATTATACCGGTGAGCAAGAAAAAAGATGTTGAAGAGTGTCCTTTGTGTGGAAAGAAAAACAGATACACAAGTGCTTACGTAGACACAGAATGCCCTAGGCAAGAGGCTCGCAACTGTGGCCATCTCAGGGAAGGAAGCATAAATACCTAGGGGACTGAGGGAAGGGAGGCCTATTTGTTTATTTTTTTTAATTTTCCCTTAACATTTAATTATGAAAATTTTCGAACATATAGACAAGCTGAAAGAATTATACACAGAGGGCTGGAACCGCGGCTCAATAGGCTAATCCTCCGCCTGCGGCGCCAGCACCCTGGGTTCTAGTCCCGGTCGGGGTACCGGATTCTGTCCCGGTTGCTTCTCTTCCAGTCCAGCTCTCTGCTGTGGCCCGGGAAGGCAGTGGAGGATGGCCCAAGTGCTTGGGCCCTGCACCCACATGGGAGACCAGGAGAAGCACCTGGCTCCTGCCTTCAGATCAGTGCAGTGTGCCGGCCACAGTGCACCAGCCGTGGCGGCCATTGGAGGGTGAACCAACGGCAAAGGAAGACCTTTCTCTCTGTCTCTCTCTCTCACTGTCCACTCTGCCTGTCAAAAAAAAAAAATAATAAAAGAAAGAAATATACACAGGGACACTAGTATCATCAATAGTTTGTAGTTTATCAGCCCTTCTACCCATCCATCAATCTGTCTTATTTTTTGACGCATTTCAAATTAAATTAGAACTTCACATATCCCTAAATTCTTCTGTATGAAGATCATAAACGAAATTTCAACTTTTGTTTACTCTTTCTGTATTTTGAATGACATGCATACATCTTCAGGGTACACTAGCTGAGTTTTGGTAAATGTATACAGTTGAGTAACCCAAATCCTTATAATACTGGAAACAACCTTACATTATCTCAGAAAGTAGGAGGACTGCTTTTTACTGTGTTCCCTTCAGCATCTTCTGAGTTTTGTACTATAAGCTTGTGGCATTTTAAAACAAATATTTAGGCATTTAAAATGTTTAAGCATTTTTACAATGATGGGCCATCAAATCTAAATCAGATGAGAAAGAGGGGCAGGCATTTGGTGCAGCAGTTAAGACCCCGAGTTAGTGCACCTGCAGCCTGCATTGGAATTCCTGGCTTTGAGTCCCAGCTCTGCTCCTCTCCTTTCCAGCTTCCTGCCAATTGCACCCTGGGAAGTGGCAGGTAGTGGCGTAAGTACCTGGGTCCCTGCTGCCACAGGGAAGCTCTGGACTGAGTGCTGCTGGACTCCCTTGCTTTAGCCTGGCCCAGTTGTGGGCATTTGAGGAGTGAACCCAGTGGATGAAAGCTCTGTCTGCCTCTCTGTCTCTTTCAGCTTTTCAAATAAATAAAAAACTGGTAACTGAAAGTAGTCACAAGTTTCATCCACACATTTCCATTCATAAGGAGTGAGTGGCATGGCTGATTAGGATGTTAGTCCCACTACCCATCACATGCTCTCAACTGTCCACTGTATTTTTCTTTTGTAGTACTTATCACACTTCTAAGTAACTTGATTTATGTAACTCTGCTTAATGTTTGGCTCCCTTATTTGACCCTAAACTCCAAGAGGCAAGTGTCTTTGCTTTTATTTAATCCTGTATTTCCTGTACCTACTACATATAGGTGCTCAAAAAATATTAACTACTTAGTTTTATTCTTTAAGTGAGGTTATTTCTCTGCTTTATTTTACTGCAGCATTTTTTTAAAAAGATTTATTTATTTGAAAGGCAGAGTTACAGAGAGGCAGAGGCAGAGAAAGAGAGGTCTTCCATCCACGGGTTCACTCCCGACGTGGCCACAGTGACTGGAGCTGGGCTGAAGCCAGGAGCCAGGAGCTTCTCCCAGGTCTCTCACATGGGTGCAGGGGCCCAAGGACTTGGGCCATCTTCTACTGCTTTCCTAGGCCATAGCAGAGAGCTGGATAGGAAGTGGAGCAGCCAGGACTAGAACCAGTGCCCATAGGGGATGCTGGCACTGCAGGGGCTTTACCTGCTAAGCCACAGTGCTTGCCCAGCATTCTTATCTATTTCTATATGAGTGCACGAATGAATGGTTTGTAAATATGCATAATACAATACTGTCTTTCATAGGTTCTACATATAAATTCTATTCTCTTAACTAGTGGTTTGTGACCCGAATGATGAAACTTGGGGGCTTATTGTTTAGGATCTTCTGGAACCACGTGCCTTTAGGATATCCAAGATTACCACTCTTTCAACAATCTTTTTAAAGAATATCTAAGTGCCAGGCACCCTTGCAGATAAATTTTAACAGCCAACACATTTGTGCATTCATTCACTCCTCAAGTATTGACGGGGCGCCTCCTCTGTGCCAGTTCTTGGGGGAGACAGCTGTTCCAGCATTTTGGGATCACGTGTCTTCCGACAGCGAGCCCGCGATTGGCACGCGCGGGTGCAGGACATGAAAGGCGAGGGGAAACGTCGGGTCCCGCCAGCAGAGGGCGCGCTCCCGCCCTCGCCGCGGCCTGGGGACCCGCCGAGACTTCCAGGCTCCCTCGCTCGCTCCCGAGCGCGCCCCCGCCCGCCGCGTCACGTGACGCGGCCGCGGAACCTGAGCTGCCGGGCCTAAGCCGAGCTAAATTCGTTGCTGGTGGCCGCTGCGGGTGCAACCGCAAAGGCTGATCCGCGAGGAGCTGGGGAGGCTCGTGGAGCCGATGCTTCCTCTTCCACGTCAGGTCGGCTCCCATTATCTTCTCACCGTTCGTCGGTCCCGTCTCCCTGAGCATTTGCATGAGCTCTTTGGCGTGGGGGAGCTCCGGTGACCATGTAGGGGGAACAGAGAGAGGAAGCTCCGGGTGCTTGGGACGAGGTCAGCGCCGTCTACACGCCGCCCCCCACCCCCCTCCCGTGCGGGCCGCTGGGCCCGTGGGCCCCGGCGGGAACTCCGGCCTCCAGTTGTGGCCTGGCCGGGAGCGCCACGAATTCTCGCGTCGTCTCGCGAGAATCTAAGTTGAAGGAACATGGCGACGTCTAATCTGTTAAAGGTAAGACCCTCACTCCGGGCTGGATTTTCCTCCGTGACCGTCTGCGGCAGCTCCTGGGGAAAGGCTCGGGTCAGGTTCAGAGGTGAAATGTGGGACTGTTAACGGGGCTGGCCGCCGGAAGGGAAGCTGCGGCCGAGGACCGGAACGCGGGTCCCTGGCCTTGGGGTCGAGAGGCTGTGGTCGTCCCTCCCGCCGGCCGAGGGCGGGCGGCCAGCGATGCTTTCCAGGGACCGGCGACGGTCGTGGTGTGCCCTGGCCCGCTGGGCCGTTCTCACTTGGAGGGTCTCGGTTTCTTCTGCAGCAAGTCCCAGACGTCTACACGCAAAATCCGAGGAAATGCTGCCTTAACAGGTTTCAGTGACGACCCCCAGCACCTCAGTTTCTGTTCTCGTTCTGCCTGCTCGAAATTCCCGGACAGCAATGCCTGCCTCTCTGTATGCTGCACCTTCTCTCCTGGTCCCCTGTTCTTGAGTTCCTATTTTCCCATTTTGTCCTAGGAAACTTCTTCCCATCTCATCCCCACCCCCGATACAGGACACAACCAGATGCCAACTGCTAAGTGTAGGGCATAGGAGAGTTACCCTCTGAGAGAAGACTTAAGGGAGATCTAGGCCCAGTGGGGCGATTTCTCTCCATCAGCGTTTTGAAAAAATGGTTGTGTTTATAGTACGGATCTTTTGCCTTAAAAGTACTGACTCAAATAGGGGTTAGGGCGGTAATTAGCTCAGGAAGTAAATACAAAGGGTGGACCATCCCTCCTGTAGACCCGACATGCCTTCTGGCAGTGTGGGTGGAAATAACAGAAAATAATCGAATAGAAAATGTGTTAAAAAGGTGTTGAAGCCTCACTGTCCTGGCTGCTTTACCCACATTAGCTCCCAGTAGATTGGATTGTCTTAAAAATGAAGACCAGATTTTGCTAAGAGGCAATATATCAACTTTTAAAAAGGGCGGTGAGGAGTTTAGAACTAGACGCTGAATTTCGTCCGCTTACAAGCTGTATCACAATGAGCAAGTTTCTGAACCTCTCTGTGTCCAGATTTCCCCATCAGTAAAAGGGAGTTATTAATAGCACCTGTCGGCGGGCGCCGTGGCTTACTAGGCTAATCCTCCGCCTTTGGCGCCGGCATACCGGGTTCTAGTCCCGGTCAGGGCGCCGGATTCTGTCCCGGTTGCCCCTCTTCCAGGCCAGCTCTCTGCTGTGGCCAGGGAGTGCAGTGGAAGATGGCCCAAGTGCTTGGGCCCTGCACCCCATGGGAGACCAGGATCAGTACCTGGCTCCTGCCAGCGGATCAACGTGGGGCGGCGGCCATTGGAGGGTGAACCAACAGCAAAGGAAGACCTTTCTCTCTGTCTCTCACTGTCCACTCTGCCTGTCAAAAAACAAAAAACAAAACAAAACAAAAAAAACACCTGTCTTGCAGGAGTCTTTTGAAGATTAAATGAGTTAGTATTCAGATGTTTATAACTGCCATGTGGTAAAGTAAGTGACTAGAACTGTCGCTCGTTTTTTTAAGGAACACACTCTATTCTAGTATTTGGTTTATAATAGTATATCAAAGTTTTAATAGATTAGATCAGAAAGACAATTTGTTGAACTTGTAAAGACTGTTAATGCATCCCTGTGTTTATATAAGCAGTATCTTGTTATTGATTTCATTAAGGAATAATTGAATTCCTGGTTCTTTGTGAATTTTTGATTTGTTATTACCTGGATATAGGACAAGATCTTTTTCCCTCCATCAAAACTTATTAAAGAGTAAGTCAGTATTTCTACTTCATATAAATCCTGACAAAGGATTATTTGGAGGAGATACAAATCTAAGACAGCATCAGTCATGCTACATAAGTACTTACCTTGTAGAGATTCTGAATCGCTACAGTACATAACTATGGAATGAAAAAACTGCTTGAATGTATGAAAATCGGGTACTTAGGGCAGAAGTTAAAAAGAGCACCAAATCAAACTTTTATATATAAAAAGAAGATAGTGACACTTTGGAAAACACTAGTAAGTGACTCAGTCACTCTAGTGAATGCAAAGACAGATACCAAAGATACATTTGAAAATATCAGTAAAAATTTTATGAGATGTTGGCTATGTGAAAAGGCAGAGTTTCTAAGTGAATAATATATTATGTGATTTTAATTATATATAACTAATACAGTGGGAATTACATGCAGACATTTGATTCTCACATCTACATCACCAAAGTTTCCTTTTTCAAGTTGGCCAGAAAACCTTTTCCACCCATAACCAAAGATGGAAGGTCAGGATGGAGATTGTCTTATATTCGTACATTAAAAAGTAGTCATAAAATGGTAAGACTGAAATTCGTCTTCATGGAGAAATGTAGTGAGATCCTCTCAGGTTAGATCTATAACATAATTTATAGGATCATTTAAATGCAAGGCTGTATCCATAGGCCTGGTTTTCAGTCCCTGCTCTGCTCCTGACTCCAGCTTCCTGTTAAGGAATATGTACTCTGTGGGGCATCAGATAATGACTGAAGTGGTTGGGTCCTTGTCACTCACACAGGATACCTGGATTGAGCTCTTGATACCTGGCTTTGTCCTGACCAGGCCCTGGCTGTTGTCAGCATTTGGGGAGTGAATCAGCAGCTGTGAGATCTCTTTTTCTGGATCTTTCTTTGAAAATAAAAATTTTAAAAAACCCCACCAACTTTTTCATATATATATATATACACACACACATATATATATCCATTTGACTAATTATATTCTCTGTTTAAGAGTGGACTGTCACTGGTCTTGAAAATCTTTTGGGTATACATTTGTATAGTATATTTTGACATGTATAAGTATCAACCACTTACAGGATTTGTATCTCCAAAAACCTTTTCAAATTACCACTTTATTTTTGTTTACAAAGTGTGCCTATAGAACATTTGTGAGAATCTGGTATTGTAATTCTGTCTTCTGTTTTAGATTTTTTAAAAAGATTTGCTTATTTTATACAAAAGGCAGAGTTACAGAGAGAGGGAGAGACAGAGACATCTTCCATCCATTGGTTCACCCCCCAAATGACTGTGACAGCTGGAACTGGGTCAGGTGGAAGCCAGGAGCCAGGAGCTTTTTCTGGGTCTTTACCTTGTTGGGCCATCCTCTGCTGCTTTCCCAGGCACTTTAGCAGGGAGCTGGATTGGAAGTGGAGCAGCTGGGACTTGAACCAGCACACATATGGGATGCAGGCACCCCAGGCAGAGGCTTAACCTTCTATGCCACAGGACCAGGCCTACTTTTTTTTTTTCTTTTTTTTTTTTTTAAGATTTATTTGAAAGGCAGAATTAGAGAGAGGGAGGGACAAAGAAGATCTTCCATCCTCTGGTTCTCTCCCGAGATGGCTCCAATGGCCAGGGCTGGGCCAGGCTACAGCCAGAAGCCAGGAGCTTTATCCAGGTCTCCTACGAGGGAGCAGGGGCCCAAGCACTTGAGTCATCCTCTGCTACTTTCCTAGACACATTAGCAAGAAGCTGGGGCTGGAACTGGTGGAGGTAAGGGATATTGGGACAGCAGGTGGCAGCTTAATCTGCCCACAGTGCCACCCTTTAGGTTACTTCTAATATATAATTCTTGTTCCTTTTGTTTTATGTTATCTGGGTCCTCATTGCTCATTTTCTTCATTTCCACTTGATTACCTATTTCAAGCAACATTATTCAAACTTTTCCCCCTCCTCTCTTGGTCTCGCCTCTCTTAATTCATAGCACGTTATTTTACCCAGCTGTTTGGCATGCCCTTAACTTTTTTGGTCAATACCACAGATTTTTCTATATCTCCCTAGCCTCTTTTTCTAGCCTCCTCTTAAAAAAAAAAAAAAGATTTATTTATTTGAAATTCAGAGTTAGAGAGAGGAGAGGCAGAGAGAGAGGTCTTCCATCTGATGGTTCACTGCCCAGATGGCCCCAGCAGCCAGAACTGCACCAATCTGAAGCCAGGAGCTTCTTCCAGGTCTCCCACATGGGTGCAGAGGCCCAAGGACTTGGGCCATCTTCTGCTGCTTTCCCAGGCCATACCAGAGAGCTGGATCAGAAGAGGAGCAGCCGGGACTAGAACTGGCACCCATATGGGATGCCGGCGCTTCAGGCCAGGGTGTTAACCTGTTGTGCCACAGCACCGGCCCCTAGCTGCCTCTTTTTTCAAGCGAGCTTTTTTTTTTTTAATTATTGTCCTTATTGTAGAGAGAGACAAAGCTCCCATCCACTCACTCCTCAAATGCCCTCAACTGCTAGAAAGGCCAAGCCAAAACCAGGAACCAGAAACTCATTCTGGGTCTCCCATGTGGGTGGCAGAGATCCAACTACTTGAGCCATCACCTGCTGTTTCTCAGGTTGTGCAGTATCAGGAAGCTGGAATCAGGAGTGTAGTTGGTACTCAAACTCAGGCACTCCTGTATGGGATGTGTGTATCTTGAGGGCTAGGCCAAAAGACTGCCTCCTCAGAGAGAGATATCTTCAACCCCATGGTTCCCTTCCCAAATACCTGCAACAGCTGGGGCTAGGCTGGGCCCAAGCCAGCACTCCATCCAGGTCGCATGCGGGGGGGCAGGGGCGCAGTTACTTGAGCCATCATCTGCTGCCTTCCAGGGTGTGGATTAGCAAAAAGGTAGACTAGGAGTGGAGTAGCCAGGAATCTAACCAGGCACTCCCTTATGGGATGTGGGCATCCCAAGTGCCAACTGCTGCACCAAACACCTGCTCCCAGAGCCAGCTCTTAACTTGGCTCCTTTTACCTGTTCTTTTTTTTTTTTTTTTTTTTTTTTTGACAGGCAGAGTGGACAGTAAGAGAGACAGGGAGAAAGTTCTTCCTTTGCCGTTGGTTCACCCTCCAATGGCTGCCGCGGCTGGTGCTGGCACGCTGCGGCCAGCGCACCGCGCTGATCCGAAGCCAGGAGCCAGGTGCTTCTCCTGGTCTCCCATGCAGGTGCAGGGCCCAAGGACCTGTGCCATCCTCCACTGCCTTCCCGGGCCACAGCAGAGAG